TGCTTCTGTTCCTCATCTGTATGGTGAGCTTGCCCTGAGTGGAATAATGGAAGATCTGACCAGACATCTCTTTCCCATTGCTTTGTTGCAGATTTCTAGTCTGGTACAGTTCCTCACTGAGAACTGCTGCAGGATTTTTGGAGAGGAAATTACCTCCCTCTTTGGAGAAATAATGATGACATGCAAGAGAGAGAATGGCTCAGGTAATACAGGTGATGTTTTGATCTTGTTAGACAGAGAAACTCAGCCAGGCAAAAGATCAGTGCATTCCATGGAGGAATGCTGTTCCCTCTTCATGTGATGTTCCCAGATACTGCTGTTCTCTTTCTTTTGCCCAAAGTATTGTTGACAGTCACTGATTCAACTTACCATAGACCTGCACTATATCACAAAATGCTCTCCCAAAGAATCCTTTGTTCCTATTCCAGTCATCTGAGGTACTATGTAAAAAAAAAAGGGGGGAGAGGAAACAAAGAAAAAGAAAGAAAAACATTTGGAGATTTCATCTCAAATCTAAAATTTTTGCCCAGTCTGTTTTCCCAGAGTATTGGGAAGTCATTGATCAACAATGGTTATAATACAGCTGTCACACCATTGTATTAGGGTTGAAACCATCTATTCTTCATTATCAAAAGAGAGAGCTCTCCAGAGTTTCAATGGAACATGCAGATTTTGCTCCTAGCACAGAAAAATCATGGAACTGGGGACTGAAAATGTCTGACAGACTAGTTGGCAGAGCATTCCAGAATATCATTAATGTTCTTTCTCTCTCCAGCTCTGTGATAGTGTTGATTTTGACTGGATTTTTGGGTCTCTCCCTAAAATATTTCTAAAGCAGTGTTTCTGTAAAATAAGTTTTGGCATAGCTGGCCTGTACTGAAAGTGGTAATGACACTTGCTCCAGCATGCCTGACTGACTCAGTGTGGCCCTCCCACACTCCTCATACTCTGCCTTTCAGTGAATTTGTTGAAAGTCAGTGAAATTTGGCCTGCCCCCTCCCCAAGAGTGGAAGCACATGGGATCTGCTGTGCTGGGACGTGCTGGGACTGAGAGCTCAGACCCACAATACGTTATGGCAGCTGAGAAGGTTTTCAAGCACGCGCTGAGGCACGGTGACTGCCCATGCATGAACTCTTGTCTGCTGCAAATGTGAGATAAGTCAGCTTAGCATAGCCCAGAGCAAAAGAGATTTAATATAATTCCAATTATCGCATATACAGAACAGGGCGCAGGTGTGCACTGCTCGGTGGAAATGAGGTGACTGTTTAAACTGAGACTAGAACTTTCTTCATAATGTTGCTCTTAAAAATACTGCATTTTCTGGAAGACCATAAACGTATGAAGTATGCCCTGTTTTCTTCATTTGTCTGAAAGAAGGAAAGAAAGGTTAAATGTCGCTTTCAATATTCAATAAGAAGGAGAAAAATTCAGTAAATTACTGTTTCAATATACTGTATGTAAATTATTGTTTACAGCTGGATTACCTACTACTAAAGTTCCCCACTTAGAAAAAACCCAAAACAAAATAAAACCCCCAAGCCCTACCCCTTATTTGTGCCATTATGCTGTATTTCTTGACTGAACTGCAACTCAGCACTCATTTCAAAATTAGAGAGTATTTTTTTCCTGAAATTATTGGCATTTCTGCTTGAAGAATCTTTAAAGGGCAAATGCTGCTGAAAATAAAGGATACTTGCCAAAAAAAATATATGCAGCTGCTTGTCAGCAGGGTGGCTCAGTCACTGATGTGTTAACACTTGGTTTGTCCTTGCAGATGCTGCTTCTCTCCATCTGAATGACTCTTCCTACGACAGCTTGGAAAACGAGGTGAACGATGAAGCTGACTCCTCTTCCAGCGACTGGATTAAGAACCGAGATCAGGATAACAGGAGCAGGGAGTCTGTCTTCACTCTGAGCGACGGTGATTCAGAGCAGACGGAGGTGGATGAAATCCAAAGTAAAACCAAATCAAAACAGTTGACAATTTCTGTTGATGTACACCGTAAGTTTTCATCACAAGAAAACTCGGAGAATGAGTCTCTCTGCTCCAATGCACTGGGCTTCTCTTCAGCAGCTACCTCAGGTGCTCCCAAAACCTTGAGGAGACACAGACGCTCCTCAGAGCCCGCAATTGGCCTCCTTGCCCCCAGCTTCGCCTGCATTGGTGACGGTCGTGAGAAGGCAACACGCAAAGCCAGCTGTGACGTTGTCCTGTCTCACGAAGATGAAGACTATCTCCGTCAGCTTCGGTCATTACAGATGGAGGGGCAAAAGCTTATCAATCAGAGCTTGATTATAGGGATTAACATCGGTAAAAGTGACAACACAAACCAAAATGTTGAGAAGAAAGACTTGTCCCATTGCCTCCTGCCTCCAATGCCAGAGAGATTAAATATTTGCTCAGGATTTAGCTCTTCTAGCCTGTCTTCTCCTGGGACATCTCCATCTGTGTCGTCAATGAGCTCTCTGGACAGTGCTTTCTCTCAGTTTTCAGACCAATCTGTGTTTACCCCAACTGAAACCTCCTCCCCTTTCGATAGCACTTTTCAGTCGCTAAAGAAACATGAAGACACTGCCACTGAAGTGGCTGATGACTATTTGGTTACACCCACCAAGGTGCCACCATCTCCACAACCTACCGACACTTTGGCTGAGGGGGGCTTCCTGGAGCCCAACAGCAGGCCAGCACCCCTGAAACCTACTGATGGAGTTGATGGCTATTTGATTAAGCCTGACATTCAGCCATTACCTCTGAAAATCCCAGGAAGAGACAGACTTCATGATCCAAGATCAAAGAGGAGGTCTAGAAGAGCATTACAGCAATCCAAAGTTTGAAGAGACTGACCAAAGCTTTTTGCGGAGGAATCTTAACACTTAAAATAAACACCATAAAGAAAATGCCTTTGGTGTTAGTGTGTGTTCATTTTAAGTTTAATATCCAGGTTGTTCAAATTTAATTGAGCAGTCCCCAGATTCACAGGTTTTCTTTTTTTTAGGAAACTGTCTGAGTAATGTTCCCACATAAAGCTTTGCAAGAACATTGTAAGAATAATAAAAATTGCTAAAAAGCAAGCAAACAAAAATCTCCCAAAAATGTGGAAGGGTCCCAGGAGGTACTTAAGAGCAGTGCCCTGTTCTCTGAGCCTGCCAGGGCAGCGGGGTGCCCGCTGGGCCTCTCCTCTTGACCACTTGTGTGTTGAGCCTTGCAGATGTGAGTCCCAGTCCTTTGTGGTTTTGATGTAGCGTGCAAAGTCAGCATAGATTCCATAACTGTGGTATTATACTACTGTTCTGAAACTGATAGGTATTACCTTCATTGTCCTCCAAGGAAGAAGTGTATTGTTTTCTGTACGTTTATAAGGTATGTTTGCTAGGTGTAGTTATTTCTTTCACGCTGCAAAAGAAAGAAAAAAAAAGCTGAAAAATATGTGAAGAGAAATGTTGAAGCTTGTAACTAACACCTCGCAACTCTGTGTTTCATTTATTGTGCTTCGTTGGCTGTTCTGTTCGTGTTTAAGTTGTGAATAGTTTCTTAACATTGCTGTAAATGGCATTATTATGTATTATTGCAAGCAGAACACATGTAATTTTATTATGCAGCATCTAAAACATCATATAATATATTAAAAGTAATGCATTATCTAAATGCTTTGAGTTTGTATAATATATCCTGATAAATTTTGCTATTATATATGTTCTGAAAAAAATGTGTATTTTTGTACTTGCAAAAACTGCTGCTAATTTTACGAGTTCTGTTTTGTTGTTACAGCACTGGTATTGATGTGTATGCATTCAATGCTATATATTAAATATTATTTGTTATGTCATAAATTCAGTTTATATTCTGTGTAATTATTTTCTAGGTGTCAGTTCTACAAGCTATTACTGAAGCAAAAGTCCCAGTGATGCTACTCCAAATCTTGTGTGAGGAAGGACTGCAGCATTTTTCCTCCTCTTTGGGTGGCATTGTTCATACTGTCTGTCTCCATCCTGTTAACTTTTGTAAATTTCATAAATATTCAGGAGAAGGAAAGGAGGGGAGCAAGACACTGGATGAGAGCAAGGTTTATTCTTTAATATTAACAGGGTTCTAGAGGAAGCAAGAAGGAACGGCAGAGCTAAACTAAACACATCTGGGCACATGTGCATGCACGCAATGCTTCTGAAATTGTATTGATTCATTCATTAGCTTTCCATTTTCAAAAGCCCTCCTCCACCACAATGATTCTGGCCAGTAATGGAGCTTCAGGTCCTATTCTGCTTAACTACGCTCCAGTAAAGATGCTCAAGCTTCTAAGTCTACGCATTTCTGAGAAATGTAAAGACTGTGTAGTGCTCTAAGCCATTTCCAAGTATTATCAGCATAAAAGGTTGTTAGCCCTGTATCAGACAGAATGGATACTCCCCAGCAGATAGGGAGGGGAGGTGGTGTGTGTTAATAAAGTTAGAAATATCCTTACTTGAAAATATAGAATCAGAAGGTTATTATTTGGGGCTCTAATCCTGCAAATGTTGTATCTGTAAGCAGAGCTGCATTTGTGGAGACCCACATGGTGCAATAAACTGTCGTGCACTGGGAACTACACCAGCATGTATAATTGTCTGCGTGCTCAGAGACTTTGCTGCAATTTGTTCTTTTAAATGTTTTTCATATTCAGCTATTTTAATAAAAATGGTAATATACAGAATCTGATCTGTAACAGTCATGTTCCAAAGGTAAAATCCTTTGTATGTATTTTCAAACCTGTCGTCTAATAGCTCTACATATGCAATTCCTTTAAAACAAACAAAAAAAGAGATGCTATTTGGAAACAGAACAGCTACCCTGCATTCCTTTTTGAAACGGTAAAAAGCATATTGCCACACTGCCAAGATTACGTCAAGTGGCAAATGCTGATTCATTGCAACAATAATAAAGCTTTAGAAAACTCTCTAGTCTCTGCAATATAAATGTTCTGTCCTACAAATGATATCTTTCAGCAAGTCATTTATCTCTGCTGGTCTGAAGTAAAAGTATATCCAAGAGCACTTCGATGTGAAACAAATTGTGTGTCTGCTTTTGAGCTGTAGCTAATGCTAGAGTACTTTCAAATTTAAACATATGGTGAACAAGCTGGATGCAGACCCAGTACCATTTAAAATGCAGTTCTGTCTTACAAGACCCACACCCCGCTGCTGCACGAGGCCTGTTCTGTGACAATCACAAAAAAGAGCACTAATGGAGGAGATCACTGTCTGCAACTCCTCACTAAAGAAATTAAATGCTGTTAAGATCCAAAATTAATTATACAGAATGTGTCAGATGTGACTCTGAAGACTGCAGTAATCACAGAATCATAGAGTGGTTTGGGTTGGAAGGGACCTTAAAGATCAGCTAGTTCCACTCCCCCTGCCATCAGCAGGGATGCCTTCCAGCAGCGGTTGGTGTGCTGTTGTTGGGAAGCCAACATTTCATGTACCTTGGGTCCCTGCTGCTCTCTTTCCTGGGACACCCCAGCAGGCTGGGACGGGATCTCTGATCCAGGGAATATTAAAAAGAAAGTTTTGTAACTTTTTTTATGGCTCTGCTGATGGCTTGTGAGAAGGTGTTGGGCTACAAGTGGCCTCAAGGGCTGAGACCCTCTGCTTCTGCTGTGGCTCCAGCTGGGTGCCCCAAATGCTGGGGTCCCTGGTGAGGTCCTGCCCAGGTCCTGGGCACCATGGGACATCACGTCTTCCCCAGCCACTTGCTTCCCTCAACTGGCAGCGGAGGATGGCTGCTTTGGAGAAGGTGCCAAATTTTTAGGGACAAACGGTAGATGAGATGTTTCCAAAATGTTTTCTTTCCTGGAATAGCAAAACCACACATAAAAATAATACAATAAAAAATGACTGACTTAGGGAAGAAAGAGTGGCAATGACTCCTCATTCACTGCTGTCACACATACAAAATGAAGCAAACTGACAAATTACCTCTCTCACTTGGCCTTTCTGTCCTACAGGGGTTCATGATCTCATCATTAATGAGCATCCCACCTCTGTTTCACAAATACTAACCATCATTCCTTTCAGGTGATTTCAGAGATTAATATAATGTAAATTTAGAGCAATTTGTTCTCAACCTGCACTGAAAGTCTTTGCCTTTTTTAAAGCCCCGGTAAAGGGCTTATGTGCCTGATATGTCGGCATTTGGGTTTTTTAGGGGGTTTTTTTGTGGGCTTTTCCATTTTTCTGCATTGATCTCATAAATGCTATTGCTTCATCCCTGCAAGCTTTATCTCTCCAGCACAGCCCAACTCAGGAAGTGGGAAGATGTCCCATCTATTCTCTGCTTAAACTAGTTTTTAGAGTTCAAGCAAAATAGATTATAAGTCCTGAGGCTGAAGCATGACCTTTGAACTGAAGGTGTCCTTCTATCCATGCCTCCAAATCACCAGATTTCTGTTAATACCTGCTGGTCCAGCTCATTTCTTGTTCTGGGGACATACGTGGCTGCAGGACCTGGTGACTGACATCTCATTTCCAGCTCTGCTCCTTATCTGCTGTATGACATTTGGCAAACTTCTTCACTTCCTCCATTCCCTCTTTCACACCACTGGTCTTTTCCCTGAACATCCTAGTTTGCTGGGACAGGCTGGTGGTTGCTGGTGTTTGCCCACGGCCCAGCAGAAGGTGAGGTGATGCACATGTGGGACCTGCACAACAATGCTATTGCACAAGGAGCTGGGTGGCACCTGCTGACAGCCCTGAGTTTATTACGACTGTGATGACCTCTGTGTTAGGTGGGGAACTTGCTAACCAAGTTACTTGGTAGCACAGGGCTGTTATTTAACTTTCTGCCACATCCACAGCCCTCTCCCATGCCAGCACCCAAGCGTAACTATTTATCTATGCGTAACCAGACGTGATGGAGATTGGGAGATCAGGAGGTGGCCAGTGTTTTTGGGACCGACACACACACATGTGCACTCACACATATGTGCACACGGTGAGGCTGCCGTGACCCAGGCACACAGATCTGCTTCACATGCCTTGCAGGTGACCTGTGCATCAACAGCATTTCCAAGATAACCTCAGTCAGCTGGACCTATCAATTTCTTCTCATTTTCATCCATGAAAACACAGGGACATGGGATAATGAATGCTGTAAGAGACTTCAGGAGGTCTCTGGTCCAGCCTCCTGACACAGGCTTGCACGTCCATGTAGCTCATGCCTGGAAGAAGGAATACTCCAGCAATTCACTGCTATTGATCATGGCTGGAGAAATTTAGAAAAAGGTAGATGTCTCAGACAGCTAAATAAAATCTTTTGGAACAGATGACTGTAGGAGACCATCTGGAAGAACAAACAATCTGAACAAATAGTTCTAGCACCATGGCTAACTTATAATCCCCTGGAACAAAGGACTATTTGCTCAAGGATGCAGACAATGGCAGGAGACAAAACTCAATAAGGGAACAGGATCCCCTGAGCCTTCCTGAGCAATGTCTTAAACACTCGCGAGAGCGGTGGACATAAAAGGGGAAGGCAAATGCTAGAAAGGGGGGGAGAAAAAAGAAGAAGAAGAAGCAGAAGCAGAAGCAGAAGAAGAAGCAGAAGAAGAAGAAGAAGAAGAAGAAGAAGAAGAAGAAGAAGAAGAAGAAAAAGAGGAGGAGGAGGAGAAGGAGGAGAGTAGTAAAACTTCTGGATGAGTATTCCTACAGACCAGAGAACTCCCCTGTTGTCTGCACCAACCCTAGAACCCGGACAAGTGATCTCTCTTATATTCTCTCTCTCTCTCTCTCTTTCTCTTTTACTTTCTTACAGTAAGTAGGGCAAGGTCTGTATCTCATACGTGTGGCAAATATTAAGCATTTCTGTTATTTAACCATTTATTGACCAGCCTAGTTACAAAATAA